CCAAAAATTTTCTGGTACGTTCCGCACCAACCGATGGTGGCGCTCCGCTTAGATAGTCCTGCCGGCACTAAAACCATCCTGGGCAGAACCCTGGATGCTATCTGATCGGACAATAATGCTAACAGATAACCAAGTGGTCTCTCTTTAGCGGATTTAGTTCAGATTTTGTGCAATTTTTAATTACTTTTTCGTGTCAGGTTTCACTAAGTGCATTTAGTCATGATGGCTTATAATTCTTTGTAAAAATGTGTCGCAATAACCCAAAAGCCACCGAACATAGACACAAGAACAGATCACAGCTCCTTCCTCTATTTCCATTAAAACAAATGCACCTATAAATGGGGCCTTCAAATTCTCAACAGATCATAGGACTGGGTTGATAGATTTTGAGAAATACAAGTAAGGTGTCAATTTTATTGGTGAAGTAGAACTCTACATAGCAAACTGATTAACAATGCCATATAGAGACTTTCAAAAAGTCCCTTTATTATGCTATCAATTGCAGCACCTCTTGTTGGTGTGTCAGCCATCTTAAATTGGTTTGAAATGTTTCATTTTGGAACCAGACAGTAAAAATAAAGGGACGAAATAAAAGTGCAGTTTAAATTCATGCCAGTTTGGGTTTTAGAATAATTAAAAATTTGTGATAAATTATATCTAAATGTTTAAAGCCACATTAAAAAAATATGGGAGTGAGGTTTGAAATCCCAAATAGTCTGGAACCACCCCATTTAACTGCTTTAATTGAATATTATAGATTTAGGGAATGAAAGATAAAAAATGTCTGCGGTCAATTGAAAGGTTGAATGTTATTTTCCTCAGTTATTCATATTGACTCAGCTTTACCATTGAGTTCCTTCACAGTGCTGGGTTTGGGTAGATTCAGAAAAATTTCTACCCAAAATGACACAGGAACTTGTTCTTAAACAACAACCTGTGGTGAGTTATGAATATCTCCCTTGGTTCTCCCTGCAGCCATGCTGGCAGTGCAGCTGAATCAGATGGTGACAGATGGTCAGCTGGAGCCCAACACAGTCATTTGCCTGGATCGTTATGTCTGCAATAAGCTGCCTGGGAACAGGTGAGCCACTTACATGTAATGTCTCTTTCGAGTTAATGGTGAGGAAGTTTCAGTCACAATAATGTTCAGGTACCTTAGTGTGATTTGGTTAGCATTATTGCCTGGCAGTGATTTTCCTATTATATCAGTGGAAATAATTCATCTTTTGGGGAGGACAAAAACCTGCAGAATGTGTACTTGCACCAAAAATTTAATCCCCTACACAGTGTACAAGATGCAAGATGTGCTGCTTTGGAAAGTTTGGTTTATGTTGATCCTTTGGCAAAATTGTTCAAGAGATTTGTGCTCAATCACTGTTTTAAGTTGATACGAACCAAATTGCATGTTGATGAAACAGGAAGGTTTTTTTTACCCTAACCCTCCTCAATCCTCCCAAATCCTTCTGGCAGTTTTGGAGGATTGAGGGTGAATGGCGAAAGTGCGTGGCTGATTGTGAAGGATGCCATGTGTGAAGGTCGTGGGTTAGACCTTGTGTTGTTGCTCAGTCATGCATAAATTCGCACTGCCTCAACTAACATGACTAATGACAGGACTTGCCAAGGGTTTTGAAGGATCAAGGCAGTGGGCAAACCTCCAAGTAACATTTTCAAGAAATATTTGAGGATTTTGGAGGATTGAGGGAGAATCCAATTTTTCACCTCCCAAATTGGAGGATTTTGGAGGGTCCCTAGCAAAAAGGGCCTAGGGAGTTAGGGTTAACGGTATCACTCAGCTTGCTATATCCTGTCAATTTAACACCTGCTGCAGAACTCAACTGTCAACACGATTTCCCTAATTCTCAGAAAGATAAACTCGTAAAAATGTAATTACTGTTACATCTTATTCGATTCCAGATCTGTATATTAGCAGTATCAGAGAGTTTACAAGTTCAGAAACGAACTAAACATTGAAAGTCCTTGCTAAGTAAAAACATAATCCATTATCATACTGTTGCTTAACTGTAAGGTTGAGCTTACATGTACTACATAGCATGAGAGAAAACTGGTGCTTGAGCACTATTTCATGGCAAAGGTGGGCTGATAGATTTCTTTTATCAGGTCACTGATTTAAGCAATTCTTCTTGGATTATGGTTACTTTTGCATTACTTACTGCTACTGTGTCTGTGAAATAGACAGGGGTTGTGTTACCGCAAAATTAGGTGTTAAGCAGTGCTTTGAAATTGGACCCTGTTACTAGCCATACTGTCCTGTAATGCATACTACTCGTGACTGGTAGTGATCCTTGTTTTTTCTTATCACTCATTTACATGCCAAGCAACATTTGCTGCTTAGCAATTCCATGAAAGTGTTAGGTGCAATTGGTTGATCGGCGCTATCATTTGATCTTTGTGAGGTTGGTTGGTCTGTTTGCACGATTTGTCCATAATTCTACCATCAGCCTATCGCCTTTCCTTCCTGTTCCACGGTTGTTGAAGATCATATAAAAGGGAAGTAAAGTAGGAGATCTCATACAGGATTGGCCAATCACACAAGGATCGGGAGTCAAACAGATTGGCCAATCACCCTCAATAGAATAAGGCGAGACGTTTGAATCAATGTTCAAGTGTGTCAGTTTTTTAGTGATTTTGTTTTCTCATGAAGACGCGTAGTGATCATCCTGGAATTGACTGTAGCAGCACCTGCTGGTCAGGTTGGCGGTAAGATTGGCAATCCGGTCGCCTTGCCTCTGGGTGGTGCCACAGGTGCCAACGGGCAACAGGCACCGGCGCCCCAACGACCTCTGCAACAGCAACAGGCAATGAGAGCTGGAGGTAAGGGGGTCAGGACAGGAACGAGTTGTGCTCTTCTTGTGTTTGTATTTAAGTGAGAACTCCAATGTGAGCTACCTACATGTAGGGAGTGTATGTAGGCCTCATGGTCAGCATATCAATGTTCATGTTTGAACTTCCACATTTGGATAGGGTTACACATGCACCAGCTTGTGTGTGGTTTTCGGCTGTTGTCTCAGTAATCAAAACTGTCATTTCACTCTCACTGGCCAAAACCTCACGTCCAGTTTTGCTGGCTTGTTCTTCAGTCAGCATTCATGCCCTTTTTGCAACAGCTGCATTGTTTTTTGTTTGTCCCAAGATCGTCCACACGTCATCCAGCCTTGAATCAAAGGCATTCCAGTCATATTTTTCATCCTCACTAACTTTTGACCTGACTTGTAATTTGTCTTGTGGTTTACTTTGGTTTGACTTGTGATAGATTGAAAGCACCACAGCACTTGATATGGAGGACAATAGTTTTGTATCACTGGTGTTGGCTCGAGTAAACCTTTTGTGCATTCGTTTGCAGCTACAAAACAGCCTCTGAGACACTATAGAGACACCAGCAGCGCATAACCTCTACTCTTAGGAATAAATATCATTCCCTGAGAAAGTTATCTTTCCTATTTCTAATTTCATACTGACGCCCCCAATTTTTCTTTGACCCTGATGCCACGATGTGTGTGCCCTTACATTGAAATGGATGGATTTGGGACTGTTAACCCAAACAGTCCTCAGTGTTCCAACAGGTGAAGGATTGAGGACTGTTAGGATTAAGGTTAAAAGTCTAAAACTGGCCTCAGCCTAAAATGATCACATTCAATAAGCAAATACTCCATTTGCTGTCATGTCTTACATTCCAGCATCTCCAATGTCAGTGGCTAAGGCTAACAGTTTCCCTGGTGCCGGCAGTAACTTCAGCAGGCAGCCCCAGGGAAGCTTCGGAGGGCCCGGCCCGTCTTCAGGCATGATGAGCCCACCCAAGCAAGCGCAGCCAATCAGCAGCCTGACCCCCTATCAGAACAGGTAGATGCTTGTTGGTGGACGTTTGACAGCATGCTTGGCAGTTAGGATATCGCGTGTCTGACCATGCCACCATGTGTTTTATTTGTAACAGACAGAGACCTTGGTCTAGCTCTAGATACAAGATTCATATCTGGCCTATCGGTGTCCACCAACGCTCGAATGCCACTTCCTTTTTGTGCAAATCCCTTATGTTAAGATGGTGCATGTGTTTTACATTCTGCTTAAAATTGGTCATTTGTGCTTGACATGTAATGCATCATTGTTTTTAGCTCTCATGAGTAAAAAAACAGTGTTATTTACTGCATTTGAAGCAGGTTTGTACTGATAAAACGTTGCTTTTGGAAAGGAATATTTTGGAACTACTTGTTTTAAGATGGAGACCGATTCTTTTCCCTCTTCTTCCCTTGATTTCTTATTTAAATCCAAATTTGTTTAATTTTGTCACAAAACAAATAAAACTGTTACACATGTAGCTAATTTGCTTGCTTTTGAATAGACATTTGAGCCAACTTGTCTCACATTTTTATAAAATAAAAAAAATCAGATTGAAATGAAAAAGTCAGACTTAAAATAAAAAAATCAACAACCCAGCCCATGAGCAAGTTTGGTCAAAGATCATTAGTTAGATTGTGGTTGATTCGTGGCACTCGTTGCCTTCAGTTATTACTATATAAACTATTCTAACATCACAAAATGTTAAGGTCAATGTATGTAATCTGTACACTTCTGAGGGTAGATAATAAGTTTTCCTCAATAATTAAATGTGTCCAACTTTTTGGCCTTTCTGAATAAAAGCACCCCATCAGCCGCAAAGAAGAGACTGGCTGATGGGAAGTGTTTCAGTGGGCTTGAGCACACGCCCGGCACACCCACAAAAGACCATATATAGGACAGTGTCTTCTCAAGAGTTTAATATTAATCCTTTCTTTGCACTGGTAGGTGGACCATCAAGGCTCGTGTCTCCAGTAAATCTGCCGTTCGTACCTGGAGCAACTCAAGAGGAGAAGGCAAGTTGTTTTCCATGGACTTGTGCGACCAGTCCGGTGAGATCAGAGCCACCGCCTTCAAGGATCAGTGTGACAAATTCTTTGACCTGATCGAAGTCGGAAAGGTAAATATTTGCTTGCTTGTAGAACTGAGGAATTTGTTGGACTGCACTGCATATTTACTTCTAAACATGGACGCCTTGAGGTAATATGGGACCTGTCAAGACAAAATGAGAGTAAAGTCGCATCCTGCTCTTTCCTATTTTGAGGGTTCAAAGACACATTGAAGTGGAGGTCAATTTTGGGGGGTTTGAAATAATGGAAAGAGAGATTGTCTCCTATTTCATTCCAAATATTTCGCAGAATCACATATTTAAAAATGTCATTTTGTCAGCAATTTTGACAATAGCATTATTTTTGCCTGGTCTGAAATGTTGAAACAATGTCGGGAACAAAGATGTAAAGCTGCAAGAATAAAGCCACATTGTCACTTATACTTTTACCCTAAGTGTTCCATGTACATGCCACTGGAAAGCTCTCTTTCTGCATGACAGGAAGGATACCATCAAGGTATCATTAGAAAGAATACTGCCTCTACTTTCCGGAGATCCTTATACATTGTAATCATATCTCATGGTTTGGACATATAAATCCCTTTCCTCCGGGTTTGGTTTTTTTCTGGGACACCCTGTATATTCATTAGTGGAAACACAGAAAATACCAAGTAAAGCTTAGATTTAGGGCAGTTACTGGCTGAAAAATAGATTCTTGTCATTTATTTAGTCCTTTGAATCTCTTCAGGTCTATTTCTTCTCCCGTGGCACCCTGAAGACGGCCAACCGTCAGTACACTTCCATCACCAATGACTATGAGATGACTTTCAACAATGATACAACAGTGGTCCCGTGTGAGGAAGAAGATGACTCCATTCCCACAATGCAGTTTGACTTCCGTTCGATCAACCAGCTGGAAGAAATGAACAAGGACGCCATTTTGGGTGAGTCAGGCATGCATCCGAAAAATAACCAATATGGGGATGAAATGCTGGTCGTAAAGCATAACAGAATTAAGATTTTTTTCAATTAAAATGAATATGGGATGATATAGCCAAAATTCCTATAACTTGTACATTATTGCAGTTTTATCTATTAGCTTTCAAAAACTACCTAGTTTTTCAACAGTGTTGACTTGGACATAGCATTTCCTATAGTGGAAAGTACGTGTTGCCACACGTACTTGAAAACAATTCTCTACATTTACGTCTTCTTAAACACAGGCAGATGATGTTTATTTGCAAGTGTTATCACAGCCATGCTGCGGTAAGCTCAGAGAGTAGCCTCAAATGCCTACGTCGTGTGGTAGTTTTTAGAGCATACAGAGTTACTGAGGGATCGAATGGCGTACCATTGCAGCTACGTTGCTTGCATTACTTAGCTTTTCTTTGCATACAACAATCTGTAAAAGACTGTGCAGTCTGTTTCTTTCGACTGTGGTGAATCATTTCTCAAGATGCTCATTTCGCCAAGACAACAAGGTATGGACTGATGGTTTTTGACTCGGTTTATATGATTACATAGTCAAAAGTTACCCAAAGTTTTCAAAATTTTCAAAAGTTTGGTAAGCTTGCAAAATGCACTTTCAACCAAGATATTTTTAGCAAGAACTTACTCCGCTTAATCATCCGTTCTGATCAGCTTCTATCAACTTTTCATCCGAAAATCTTTGCTGCCATTCATACTAAAGACAGAAGTACGACTTACTGTAAATTTTGGAGACTTTGGGACAGTACTGTATTAAAGCTTTAGTTGTGGAGGGATGCATGCCGTAAAATTGTAGTGAATTCTAGCATTCCATCCCCAGTATTGGAATTTGTCTGACACAAACACATTATTGACTTTTCTGGATATGCCTTTTGCATTTTCAAAACTTTGAATTTAGGCAAACAGTTGAATGTTTTTTTAAACTGCTAAATTTAGAAGTTTTTTGTGATTGTATATTTCATGATGAAGCAATGTATGTTATTGTTTGTAGAAGCTGTTAACATACAAAACTAAACTTGTTTGGCTATAGATATGTATTAATTTCACTGAGAATTAAGGAAAGAGCCCTTTTTCATCCTCTTGCAGATACCACAGGCGAAGAAGCAGCCGTTACTTCCTCGACCATTGCAGCCAAACCAACTGCCACTGTGACGCCTGTACCTGTTCTTGTGCCAACCACCTCAAGCCAAGCTCAAGGTCCACAGATTCAACCACCAGTCCAAGGCCGTCCTGTAGTTTTCATCCGGCCCACGTCAGACGGAGCTGGCCCTAATCAGCAGATGCTCCCGGGATATCCTGTTTTCACCTCTCAACGGTTCCCAGCACCTGGCATGACCCAACAGACATTTGCATTCCCTGGAGCTACTCCAATGATCCGCGTTGTGCAGCATCACAGCAGCATGCCAGATGCCAGGGGTCCCCCACGACCCGCTACCCCCACAACAACATCGACAGTGACTGTCACAACATCAGGCACAACAGCCACCTCCACTTTAGCTGGCCCTGCCCAGGGGTTTCAGATACACTTCCATCACCGTCCGGGGTACCCTCCACAACCTGTGATCCGTTTGATTCAGGATACACCACCACCCCGTCCGGGGGTCCACAGATGCATGCATGTCCATCATGGACAGCCGGTGTTTAGAACCCCGACTCCAGCCACTGCTCCTCAAACCACAACAGCTCCACCCACAAGAACCCACATCTCAGCTCCGCCCCCAAGTAATCCATCAGCACCACCTACAGCAGCTGCGACAGCAGCCGCAGCAGCAAGACAGCCATCCCATGGAACCCACTCAGCAAAATCAGCACAGTCTCCACCCCTCTCTGAGAGGAAGCCAGAAGCCGAAATACACAGGCCAGAACTGGCAGAGTTGGCGCAACGCATCCATAACTTATCAGCTGATGTGAAAACCATTAAACCTGGCAGTCGGGGAGTACCCTTGGATCCCAGAGAGAAGCAGCGCAGAGAAGCTGCTGAGGCCAGCAATGCCAGGAGGAAGGAAATTAAGGCCAAGGTCAAGACCCTTCGAGCAGAAAATGTCTCAGCAGCTTCTGAGATTATCCAGGATTCAGATTCCATGAACCTACCAGCACCTGATGATGAAGCTTTAGGGATCAGCAGCACCAGCAGCAATGAGTCCACTCGGCGGCGCAAACGACGGAAGCGAGTCAAGCAACAGTCACCAGCCCTTGGTGAAGCTGAGCAGAGCATTGTTACTGAAGGTCCTGCCCAAACATCAGATGCAAGGAAGGAGAAATCCACACTTGTTGATAGTGCAAAGTCAGGAGGCCAGACAGAGTCTGCATCCGATTCAAAGCCTGATGCTGAGGATGAGCCGGCACATGATTCTGATGACAGTACCAGCTCTGAATCTGACCATGAAGAAGCAACCAATACTGAACAGAAGCAAAAAGATCCTAATCTGACGAGAACAAGCACAGAAACAACCCATCCTGTTCCTGTCGGGCCAAGTTTACCTGAGGGTTTTCATGACTCAGATAACGAACCCGAAACTGCAGGTGATACCCCTCTCAACTCACATCCTAACAATGAGAACCAAGATAATGCCTTTCCCCAGAGTACGAAAGATCAAAAGGATTCTCAAGTCAGTCAAGAATCACCAACAGAAGCCATTGCAGATCATGCATCAGCTAACCACTCGACCAGGCAGCCATCAGCTGATATGACTGGAATGGAGAAAACAGGAGAACCTGGTGCTAATCTTGAAAACCAACTTGCTCCCAGTTCTGAACTTGAACAACAGACCAGGTCCAAAGAAGTGACAGAAACTAGATCCTGTTATGATGGAAATAACCATTCTGGCACGGAAAGCCAACATGGAGCAGCTGCAATAGTGCTAGACCAGAAAGCCACCTGCATTGACACAGCTGATGTTGGAGTCCAACCTAAGCTCAGTGAAAGTTCAAAAGAGATCAAACAAGAGAGAAGTGGGCATCTTTCTGGATCAAAAACAGCAAGCCCAGAAGTAATGTCATCCCAAAGTACACAATCAAATGCAAGCATGGAATCCTCAAATAAAATCACAATCTACACAGAAGCAGAAATGGGATCGGGGTCAAGCGATGCCTCACAAAATAATTTGGAAGTCAAACCAAAATCAAGTAGAAGTACTGTGTTTAAAACTTCAACCACCAGAGGAGTTGATGGAGTCCCTATCCCAAGTTCTCTGCCAGACACAGATGTTGCTAGAACTCACAGACCACAGCAACATTTGCAGACTTTGTCCACATCCTTGACTTCATCTTCAGAACAACACATTCTACGAGGTGAAAGTGAAGAGCTGCAGAGAGATCAAATTGACGTTGAGCACAAGCAACTTGCTCTCGAACGGAAATGCCTCAACTGTGAGCGTCGAAACCTCCTGCTCAAGGAAGAAAGACTTCAGATTGAGCAGGATCGTCTCCAAGCAGAGCGGGACAGGCTGCAGGCTCTGCAAGAGCAAGTACAGCTGCAGCGAGACCAACTGGAATTGGATAGGACCCGATATGAACTGGAACGGGAACACCTGGAGGTCAACCGTGAACGTCTCCAAGTTGAGCGCAATCACCTTCAACAGGAGGAGCAACGTGGTGAGGACTCCAAGATGATTCTGCAGAGCCTGCAGGAGATAAGCCAGACACTCCAGATGTCCGTTAATCTCTCTCTCCAAGGCTACGGCTTTCCAATGTCGTATGAAGTGAACGACAGAGGTGCAACTGCTGTCACTGAGGAGTACTTGCAGCCACAGAGCTTCTTGCAAGTGGAGTCACAAGAGATGTGGCCAGCCGAGGAGACAGACATTCCAGGAGGAGGAGCCGTTGGTGGGGGAACATTTTACTCGGAGGGAGAGATCTCAGGAGACGAGTGGACAGTTGTTGGAAGAGCAAGGGGATCATCCAGTCACCGAGAAAGTTCGCGATCTGCAGGCCAAGATCAGTGGGTAGCTGACAGCACAGTTACATCTCAAAGTTCTGTGGATACTCTGGCCCAAGGCAGTAGGCCCCCTGAGTTGGCTGCACCAAGTCCAGATGTGACTCATGGTTCAACACAGCAAGTGCAAAATTTAACAAAAACTGGAAGTTCTAAAGAAGCTAGTGGAATGCAGAAGGGTGAAAAGTCCAGCTTTGGGCAGAAATCAAGTGGAGATCGGAGTTTGTCACCTGTGCATGGATTGAGTAGTATGCAGGAACGACAGAGAACGAGAAATAACCCAAATCGAAGAAATCATCGACAAGGACGACCCTCAGACAATCGAAGATGGCATGATCGAAGGAACTGGAAGCCAAACGATTCAAGAAATGAACCCAAAAAGTAAAACAAAAGTCTCAATGTCAATCTTTATGTGACGGTGTGTTTCGTCAAACTGAATTCATTTTGTCAGTTTATCAAGTTTTCTTTTGTAATTTTATTTTCCTGATTTTTTTTAAGAGCTAATTTATAATTATATGTAGAAAAATGTTGGTACAGCCTTGCATAAGGATTTGCATTGCTTGTAAAGGTTGCAGGATTTAGTAAGGGGCTAACATAAAATGGAAATTTTATCTTTGTGTGACAGCCCAAGGTGCTTTATCTCAGAAAGAAATATCAAATTTGCAAAACTTGCAAAAGGCTACTCTTCTCTGATGCAAAAAATTGTATATAGGTCTCTCAAGCAAGAAGTGGTTATTGAATATCTTACATTGTAGCTGATTTTTGGTCTCATTTTCAACTTAGCAGTCATTGTATGCATTATCATGGTAAGCTACACACTCTATTCATGACAAAAGATACAAGTAGATGCTGGAAGAAGATTCTTGTCATACTTTTTATATTGATCAGTTGATGAAGAATTTTAAGCTATGTAGACAACATAGTGTACATTTTATTCATTTGTGGGTACTTCCAGAAATTAGGGGTCCATTTTCTTTCCTGACTCTGCCACATCTGACGTATGATTTTGTAAGTTCAGAACACATTTTCTAATTTCCAAGAGTGATAAATTAATGCAAATTACCTGCCAAACAAATAGTAATATTTTGAAATCAATGCCGTTGGTAATATCCATGTCAAATAAAATTAAAACAAAGGTCAGATGTAACAGGGACACAAAAATGTCACACTTTTGGACCCCTAATTTCTGGAATTACCCTTGTATGTAGGGAAAAGCAATATTCATTTTCAGCTCTTCAGAGACTGAAATAATCAAAATCAAAATACAATCTTAAGGTTTAGTAATCTTGCATTAACCCTTCTCTTGTTTCTTTACTATTCAATTTATACCTTACATGTATATGTAGTCTCCGAGTAAAGAGTGTTGGCTGTATTTTAAAAGCACCATATTTTCTCCATATCAATTGTCTTAACCCTAACAGTCCTCAATCCTTCACCTGTTGGAGGACTGAGGACTGTTAGGGTTAAACAAAGAAGCTTAACATAGATGTGAGCTCCTTTAGGAGCAGTGCCTTGTGAGAAATTGATACATAAAACAAGAAATGTTATGCAACTTTTTATGTCTTTGCTTTATAGCTAAGAATGTTTCATAGATATTCTGCATGTAATAGCATTTGCATTATGTTTTTGTCAGAAACATTCGGTTGGGTGTTTCATTAATGAATACTGTAAGCAACTTTGGGTAAGAAAAACAAGTTTATTGATAAAGCAGAACTGGAGCTGCTCATTTGCATGAATAAAATGTCATAAATAAAGTATGTATCTCTGCTTTCATTTTTTTTTATTATCGTCTTCAGTTATGCATTTGCGGTCCCTTTATCACTTTCAGCAGAGCTGTACGTGAATGGTGTGTTATATGTTGCTGTATGTTATAAATGCCAGAGAGGAACATGTTTGTAGCAGTAATCCTGCATGTCTGTTGTACATACATGTACAATGTACATTTAAATTCAGATACTGCACTGTTTTCATATTTTTCAAAATACAAACTACAGAGCGGTATGTTGCAATGAATGTGCTTAGGTGTATTTTAAGAGGTTTTCATCCTAGATGCTGTTCTGATATTTGTGTCATACGCTGTGGGCTCGATATTTAGAGAAGACTTTCCAATTAGACACTGCACCTTTTGGTCTCAGACAATGATTTTTTTCCCCTGCGTTGGTGGGCGAAACTTCTGACTGGTATTTCAGATGTCATTGGTGTTGTCAAGAGTACTGGTGACGTAGCAACCATCACCACCAAGACAACAAACCGCGAGCTGACAAAGAGGGAACTTCAGGTCATGGACGATTCCAACAAAGTTGTAACCTTGACGCTGTGGGGGAATGAGGTGAGGAAAAAAATCAAGTCTTGTTCATGATAAATCCTTTCTCATTTCAGAGAGGAATCAGATTTATGTTACTATCTCGAGTTGGAACTAAAGAGCACTATTGAACAGCATGCCCCCTAGTAGATTTCAAAAGAAAATTACTTGAGCTGAAGACCACGCTCATCCAGTGAATCAAATTTTTCCTTCTGTGAAGTAGGCACAGTTTGGGGTCCTCTTGAGTTGTGAGATCTGTTTTAAAGTTTGACCAAAGATATAGTTTTTCTCTAAAGACTTTCTCTTTTGTTTTTTATCATTGTGAAAATGAAACATCAAGCATGCTTGCTTACTCTGAAAACTGGATTGCTTCAGTTATAACATCTGACCAATTGACAGGCTGAAAAGTTTGATGGGACAAACAACCCGGTCATTGCCGTCAAAGGTGCCAGGCTGTCGGACTTTGGTGGCCGCTCGTTGTCCGTTCTCATGTCCAGTACTGTGCTGATAAACCCAGACATACCCAGAGCCCATCAACTGAAAGGCTGGTAAGTGATTGCCAACACAGCATTCTCACTTTCTCGCAAGGAACACTTACACTTCTTTTCTTTTTTACCATCTCAAGTCCATCAAAATTTGTCACCTGATCTTGCCCGATTTTTACCTGATGCTGAACTAAACCACTGTTATCTTTTGTTACACGGAGCTCGAGGGGCCATGCTGAACCCAATAAGGTTATGCAGGATTTCAGTGGTCCCTAGGGGGTTAGGGGATACAAAAGTATGTGCTGTTGGGTTCTGCACAGTGTCAAACTTAGTGAAATTGGGACAAATAGGTACAAGTGTTTTGAGTAGGACAAAAATAGCTAAGGTTCATCACTAAAATGTATTGATAAGCCGATTTTATGCCAGCATTTCAAAAAAGAAGTGTCTACTTTTGCTTGAAGCGGCAAACAGGCATCCAAGTTGCTAGGTTTCATGCTTTTATATGTATTTGTGTAAGAAAACTGTTTCCAAAATGAACTACAGGCCCCAGACACCCTCTTGGTAAAACTCAAAAAATGAGTTCAGTTGTATTGTTAACCCAGTGTCAAAGTGTTAAGCACTTGCCATGAAACTATGTTAGAAGGTCAACAACTTGAAAAAGGTGCTTTTGAATTCTCGATTCATGCTCTCTCCTTGGGTTAAAGGTACGATAGTGTTGGCCACACACAGGAGGCCCAGTCAATCTCAGAGCAGAGGATGGGAGCCGGTGTGGGAGCCAGCTCCAACTGGCTGACGCTCGAAGAGGTGTATGCGCAGAATCTGGGCCAGGGAGAGAAGGTAAAGAATTCGGAGAGGAGGATGTAAGGAGGGTTTGATGAGTGGAAGGAGGATGCAATGTTGCTATGGCTGCTTACTGTGCCGGGATGAGGCCTGTGGAGTCTGCTTGTGAACAATACAGATTGTGGTGTTGGGAAGCGACAATGTTCCTGACAAAAGGGCCTGTGCTCACACGTATTGTGCATATCGCATGCAGAGTTGTAGTGGAGTCAATCACAAGTCCCTTTGAGAAGTCCAACCTCAGGACTATCCTACCCTCGAACCATGCTGTCATATTGTGTGTATTAAGTCTATGGTTGGACACCGAAACTATCCTATACATCACTTAGTGAAACTGAGACTTTGCCAAGCTGCCAATCAAAGGGAGTATAAATGTTGGATCATTATCACTTTTTGCATGTCTTTCCTTAGCCGGACTACTTCACTACAAAGGGGACGATCATCTTCATGAGAAAGGAGAACAGCATGTACATGGTAGGTACAGGTTGTACCAACAGTACGACATGACAATTAGTGTGAATGGTTGCAATACTTGTTGAGAACTGCATGTTACTTGTTGAGTCTGCTTACTTGTACAACATCCAAGCCATAATTAAATGAATGCAAAATGCATCACATGAATTTTTTTTCACTAGCAGTGATCGCCATTTTGGTGTGTCTTTCCTTTGCTTTGTGTACTTCTGACTTTCTATACCTTAAATACTATATTCTCGTATTCATGTTGCAGTCCTTTTATGAGGCTTGCAAATACACTGAAACATGACATCAGAAATCAAGCTTTGGGAACAAGAATGTTGAAGCACTTGGGTGTAAACTTTGGTTATGGGCCAAGATTCAATTTGGAATACATGTGTTGAGTTTTGTAACAGGATTTGCCAGAAGTATTCACAAGAAATTTGCAAATATTGGAACATATTTTTCACCAAGCTGTGTCAAAACTTTTATATTCTTATTCATTCATAGTTCTCCAATCAACACGCTTCCTGTTTTTAAAATTGATGCTGACTGCTGCCAGCTCATTTGCAGTAAACTGAGACTTATTTCCAACTTTTAGACTGCCCAACTGGCCAATAAGAATCGCCACATGAGTATTTATGATGAACGCGATTCACTTCAGGCTTATGACTTTTGTACGTAATTATGCTGGCACAGTTTTCTGTGTCTTCTGGTACCAATTAACTGTGAACAGATGTTTCTGTCTTTCAATTAACTGTAAAAAAATTCCACTCATGTATTGCCAGCATTTGGATTTTGAAAAGAAGAGTGTCACGTTCAAGTGTTAGACTTTGTCATAGGAATATATCTACTGTGTTCCCTTAGGCCTGTCCATCTTCAGAATGTAACAAGAAAGTGAGCGACAATGGAGACGGATCATACCACTGTGAGAAGTGCGGGAAGGATTATCCCAACTTTCAGCACAGACTGCTGCTCTCAGTGAGTACCCCCATGACAGAATGGAACCTACCATCTTTGGGATGAGATCTCCAATGACATTTTGGCAGGCAGCATGTTGTTTTTGAAAAAAGACTTGGTTCCCAATAGTTTCAAACTTGGCATTGATTTAGGAGTAGAAAATCAACTACAAAGATGGCATACATGTAGCTAAAACTCTTGGCCTGTGTGGTTGTGTGTATTTGTAGTTTGCTAACAAGGTTAAAAATGTTTTAGACGTTATCTGAATTCATTTCATGGATCTTACTTAATTCTTCTGTTTGTTACATTTCTACCTCTCGACAGACAGATTGATTTGAATAGGTTTTGGAGAAAGAAAACTATTCAGTTCAATGCTGGCAGTAGGATTTAACTTTGAAGAAGCAAATCTTTTTTGTGATATTTGTTCGGAAATGCATCTCGTGACACAGTTTTATCACTGGAATTATGTTCTGTGTCTGTCAATAGGCAAACATTGCTGATGCCACCGACACTCAGTGGACGACTTTTTTCCAGGAGACAGCAGAAAGTATCCTTGGCATGAAGGCAGACGATTTGGGACGTCTTAAGATGGAGGTCAGTTCACCAAACACCTCTGGCAAAAGACAACTACCGGGCTGGCGTTTGGAGCATGTCTCATGCACACACATCGGTTGAGATGAAATTAATTAGATGAGTGTGAAAAGGTTACACTTTCTTAAAGTGTTAGAGAAATACTTGGAAACCTCAATTATGCAAAACTTGGCTTTAAGAGCCATAGTGATCATATATGATTTGCATGTAGAAACTCATGAAAAGATCAGTGTGTGGTTGAGTATGTGTCCGCAATCAGGAAGTGGACAATAGGGTTCATTATTGGTTTCCTTTGTAGGGTTCCAGCTTAAATCCAGCGTAAAATAATGTCCACAGTGCAAGAAATATGATTTATTTTACAAGGTTTTCTACCCACTAGGTTGGTAACATAACATGTTTGTGTGTGTGTGTTTAATCAGACATTCTAGTGAGATTCTAAGACATTTGTAATTTTTTGTTAATGTTTGATTTGCGTGCCTAGGATGAGCAATCTTACAGTCATGTCTTTGAGAAGGCCTGCTTTGAATCCTTCATCTTCCGCATGCGCATCAAGATGGAGTCTTATAATGTAAGTTTTCAGGAGTGGAAGAAAATGAAGGACTCGAGGAAGTCCAAGTGAAATTCTTGAAAACCAACATAATTGCATTGAAATTAAATTACAAAATGTATGTCTGCATTGGCTTTTAAGAGCAGAACTGTAGCATAGATCCTGACGGGGTTGGGCCACTGGTAAGTGCAAGTAACTATTGGTTTATGCTCGTGTCATCCTGTTTCCTGTTCCTGTAAATAAAACCGAAGATTTACTTGTGAAATGATCATCCTTATTATTAACCTTTTAAAGCCACAACTTAACCACTTCGTGCCGGGGCATTTTTCAATGTTGAGGATGCTGGGCCGGCATGACTATCATTTTTTTCCGTTTTCAAAATCCTTCAACAGTTCATCATTCCATTTAACAGTCGTTTATAGCCACACAGAGTAATCTTCAGGCACTAC